TGGAATAGATATTACATATTTGACATCCTACATAAACAATATTCATATCCACCTAAGGATTCGAAACTCACTAATAACGTCAAGTATGCCTTCTTCCTTACGTATTAATTTGCCACTTGCTAATAAATTCAAACACTGTAACAACCTATCATCAGTATCTGATGAAACACAATCTATTATTAATTTTATAGCGAAATCTTCCACAACTTTTAAGTATTTGATTTGTGGTCTATTTTCCGAAACGCTGTCAACACTTTTGATTCATTGCTCGACTTTTGTATTCTCAAAAGGCCTTCTAGTTTTTGATTAATTATAAATAGCTCAATTGACCTAGTTTTACATTTATGTAATATAACTTATAGCGTGGGAAATTGTTTTTCTTGTTTTTATAGTCTATTATACATTGTATCTTAATATGGTCGCGTACAGTGCAGTTTCTGAGGAGTTTCCTCCCGTAAACGCTGTAAGGGCCAGAACTGAATTCCAAGGCAAATCAAAACTGTAAGGGCCAGATCCAAATCAAAAATATTTTTTAATTTAAATCTGGCCCTTAGAGACGTATATTTACTCTTAGATAAGTGTGAAGCTTCCCTTGGATTCTGGGTTGAGTATCAGGCAATTCCATGGTAGGCACGTCCTAATCAAGCCTATAGCCACTTCTGTGGTATAAATAGTATTAATTTGATTTCAATAAGTGTATTTCAAATCTTTTGATCTTCTTATGTGATAAGTCAACAATCTACAGCCTTACTTCTAGAAACAACGGTACTGATCTATCTGAGCGTTGACCAGTCGATGCATTCCCTTATGTACAAACTGACTATTCGACTTTTTTTCCTGTCACGTCGTGTAGATCTGATATACTAATTGACAGCGTCGGAACTGGCTACTCAGTTTAGGACTCTTGATAACAGAGGGAATGATTGTTAGTAATAGGGTTTAGCAGCCTTACTTCTAACATAACAATATGTTCAGTTAGGTCGACCTTTATGGGGTTCCCTTTGGAATCCATAACGGTTAACTCCTGAAGAAGTCGTCAAAATAGGTCAAGGGAATTGACTTTATTTTAATACATGGTAATGGAATGGTAACCCCGCCTTCATTACTGGTTTATGATAGACTACCATGAAATCAGGGGGACTACCATGAAATGAAATGTCGAATTTTCAGACTCCATTTCGTGTTTTTGTTCGTACAGAAATAAATAATAAAGTAAATGGAGCTTAATATTTCATTCGTCATAAATCCTACCATAATAATACAAAGGAACGATATTTTAACATTTTTAATATTTTTAAACGGTTTACATTATGTAACTTTAACATTAAATTTGTTTCATTCGGCTCCGATATTTTAGAAATTATTTCATGGTAGGCCCTCAAGTTTTTTTTTATACAACTTAGAATGGCAAACAAGCTGACGGCCCACCTTATGGAAAGCGGTAACCGTCGCCTATAGACATGAGCAGTACCATGGATATAACAGAGTATACTGTTTCGCCCATGATACCCCCCATGCGTTGCCATTCCTGAGGACTCAGATGTTATTCAGAGGAATAACATCTTCATACCCTGTAAATTCACGCCATATCCTACCCTTCAAACCGAAACACAGCCATGCAAACACAACTGATTCACGGTAGAAACACGAATGGGACAGAGATACTCAAGCAATCGACTTTTGTACAAAGTCTCCCTATGGTAAAGTTAAATGGTCCATCGTGACGAATTCCACAATATTAACACAAGCCATAAATAAAACATGAATAGCACCTATAACAAGAGCAGCATAATACTGAGAGCGTATTCGTACATATCACAATATATCAGACAAAACTACTGCTTTACATAGTTCCTTGACCCTTGAAAGTTTGATATATTCTGTTAAAATAATTAGGTACATTACAAAAATTTGATTAGTACCGTTTTTCTGTGTCCTCACATCACCTTCCTCCTTTATTCACTTCTGTTATATGTGTACTATTAAATAAGTTTGTGTATATATTTAATTTATATATATTTGTTCATTTATATATGTGTATATTAATATATAATAGTGTGATACCTACATTTTGTCTTTTTTCTCAATTTTGTCTACCCAAAGTTTTTTCCAAAAGACTGTTTAGCGATTGCTTGCCTTCTGTATCTCATCGTATTAAAACTGTATTTATTATTTTTGAAAGTATTACAATAAGGGAATAGAAATTATAATATATCATCTAGATGTACATGATTTCTATGCACATGCCACGTCATAGCACAGTAAATGTATAATAATATTACTTAACCCTTTCAGAACTGGCGTGCACAATTGTAGACATAAGATATAATTTAAAAAATAAATATTAAACTCTCAAGCTTTCCGATTGAAAAGGGGTTGTATTCGTTTGTTCACTAATAAACTACTCAATTTAATACTACTTACGCCATTTTTTAGGATATTCTAGCGTTTTTCGACAATTTGCGACTAGTGTCCGTGCGTGATTTGAACTGTACAGGTGAGCTTTATATTTTATTTAAAAAAAATTAAATTAGTGCATGAAATCATCTGGAAAAAATATAAACGAATATCTAATATTATTGGGGTCATGTGTAACGTAATATTTGTGTATTTTTTTATTACCTTATATTGGTAATCTCGATTTTTATATTTGTGCTCAATTGTTCCCATCAGGATTTAACTGAGTTTTTCTCATTGTTCACGGTTTTTTAAAAAAATATGTTTTGTTTATATTTTTAACGTTTTATTAATCATTTTTGTAAGATAAATATATAAAATGAATTATGATATTGTTTACTTATATTTTCAGATGCAAAAACACCAATATGTCCTCATTGGAGGCGTTACAAGTATGATAACATGAAGGAGATCTTTCTGACTTATTATTATCATCTGATGACGAAGATAATTATTATGGAGATTCAATTTGTCGAGCAAATTGAATCTAGTAGCTAATGCTAGAATTAGCGCAGATGTCATTTACCAAAACTAAAGGGAGTTTTTTCCACCTGAATTTGATGACAATGAAGGACCTAGCGAATTGTATGACGGCGTCCCTGCTTTACTTTGACAATAATTTTTCATCATACCATTTACTACAAATCCTAAAACAAAAAGGTATTATGGCCGCATGCACAGCTCGTGTTAACAGATTTGTTAAACCACCGTTTTTAAGTGACAAGGTAACAAATAAGAAGCCTAGGGGTTTTTTTCAAGAAGTATGTAGCAGAGACGGAGATGTAACTGATGTAAAGTGGTTGGACAATAAGATTACCCATTTGGCTTCCAATTTTGTTGGTATAGGTGACAAGGACTTAGTAAAGAGATGGTGTAAAAAAAGAAGCGATATATTGAGGTTGCGCGACCTGAGGTCTTAAAGCGCTATAATCATGCAATGGGTGGCGTTAATTTATTAGATCAACTTATGAGCTATTACAGAACATTTATAGAATCAAAAAAATTTACTCTGCGTATGATAGTTTATGCATCGGATGTGGGAGTTCTTCAGGCATATCAAGAATACCAAATAGATAACGACTTGTAACGGCACACCTAAAAAAGCAAGGACTTACTTTACTTTCGTCGTCGCTTGGCTGACAGTTTGGTACTACAAGATAAATGTTCTACCACCAAAAGAGGTCGACCAAGTAGCAGTAGTAGCAAATTATACCAAGAAGGCCAGGAGAGATTCGTCCTGCAGCTGAAATAACTCGTGACGGTGTTGGGCATTTCCCTAAACATGACGATGGAACTGGGACTAGGTGTAAAATGGTGAGATGCAAGGAAAAATCCCGTGTAAAATGCAAAGTTCATTTATACCTAACCAAAGACAAGAATTGCTTCTTGGCTTTCCACACATAGATAAAGATTTTTTTTTCCTAATTATTGTTCTTACTGTGTTTTTATATTTGTACCAATAACTGATTATGCCAAAAAACTAATATATGTTTATTTTATCACAAAGAAAAAATTTAACTACGTTAATTCATTTATAATTTTGTAATAAAAATGTTTTTAAATTAATATTATTTCATTTCAGAACAACTTCGTATACCTTATTCTTATTACTATGTAGGACGGGAGTCCACATTTGTGCACATTAAGAAAAACTAGATTTCCTCGAAAAATGTAAAGCTAATTTTTTTTTATTTATTTTTTTTATAGTCTCCTTATTATACTTTAGACACATGGAATTTACCAAATCCATCGGATGAAAAAAAATAATTCAGTTCTGAAAGGGTTAATCAAAGTATGCACCTTCGTCGACAGTGCTGTAACCAACATTAAATTAGCAATTAAAAACTATTAAAGCAAGATCATAACTGGGTAATTAGAATGTGAGCAAGAAAGCATAGGGACGGATATCTACTATCTACATATATTTATATTAGTTGTCGTTTCATCTTCTCTATTACGTATTTTGGAATAGAGTTCTATACGTCATTACGTCTACTATTGTGAACTGATTGTAATAAAGAAAACGCCGGTTCGTGTTGAAAAGTTATGCTGACAGTTTATAAAAAAAAAAATAGTAATTAAAAGAATACAATATTTGAAATAAAAATTACAAAGGAGTTTGTAAGATCTACATTGAATTTTTTTAATCTAATGCAGTAATGCATTGTTAAATTCCCTTCGTCTCTTTCCAAAGTTTTTTTTATACCACAAAAGTGGAAAATAAGCATACAGCCCGTTTGATGGTAAACGATCACTGTAGCCTATGAACGCCTGTAACATCAGGGGTGTCACGTGCGCGTTGCCATCCCTGAAAAAACCGAAGAACTTGAAGAAAAAGGTGATTTAAATTACCAAATTCCTAAATAACAGATTTGTTAACCTTAATTCCTTTCTTAATCTATTGTAATGTTAAAATTATACCTAAAAATGTAGATTTCGAATTAGAAAAACGGATATTTCCAGATTTACGAGTCGTTAAAATTCAACAGCAGTAAAGGAAGTAGATATTAAAATATTTGACTATTGCATCATCGTTTTTTTAGGAGGTTCATCGCCCAAAATCACAAGAAAGTAAAGGTCAAGCAACCCATAAAGGTAAAAAGCGAAGCTAGTTTGTCTCCAGTGCCGACCGGCATATCACTCTTCTAAACGGTGACTTCCTTCATAGGTAATAAACTTCTACGTTGAACATATGTATATATGTATATGTGTATATATATATGTTAAGGTTGCCTAGAAGAGATAGCTATTTAGCGATAAGGCCGCCCATTGTTGCCTCTTTATCTTGCTTTTATGTAATTAAGTATTTATTTTAGTTGTGTACGTATTGTTAATCTTTATAATCTATTAATTTATATAATTTTTTAAAGGCAACAACAATGAGTTTTCATTCATTCGTTCATATATATGGACACATTTAATAATTTAAAATTATGTTCTAATAAAAAAATATACCAACTTTAATTATTTTGACTTAAAAATTAAATTACTGAATCTATTTTGATAGAATTTATATAAATTCTATCAAATGGGATATGGGACTCCCATATGGGACCAATCTGTAAGTATAAATAAATATAGGTGTTATGCCTCTATACCCTGTAATTTCACTACCATATCCCTTCAAACCGAAACACAGCCATAAATACATGTTATATTAGGTATACGATGTCATTTTCAATAGACTATATCTGTACATGGAAGATATTTGTGAAAAATATGTATGAAGATAAGAGCAACAGAAGCCAAAACAATAATTTTTACAAACTTTGTCTGTCTATCTGTATATTTGTTTCAATATCACGTAAAACTACTGCACCAAATTGTATGCAGTTTTCATTGTTGTGTTCTTAAATAAAAACTGATATAAATTTTATCATGATACGCAATCTAAAAATGGTCTTATTGATTTTCATACTTCGGAGACCACGTGCACAAAGAAGCGGGTGCAAAAAAACTAGTGTAGTTAAATAAAAATCTATGGAAGTAGTACGTCTGTGCTATACAAACATACATACACATGTACTAACTACTACTTCAATCACGATCACGTGAACAAAGTCGCGGCTAAAGCTAGTAAGTATACCTATAATAGAATAAAAGAGGCATTGAAAAACGCGTATACAGTCGAATATTTTTAACCAGCCAGTGACTTTTGTAGTGTCAATTCAAATAAAAAAAAAAGAATGCATTCAAATGCATTCAAAAAAAAGAATTCATTAAAACGTTACTCATAAAACAAGTTTGCACTATATCAATAAAATTGTATTTATTAATTTTTCTTTATATTTTACTTTTGATTTTTGAAGTTTCCAAATGTTTTTTGATCATCAATACCCAAAATAACAGTGATAGTTTAACAAAAATCTTATTGAATGATTAATTTAGTTCGTTATAACAAATTTTCAACAATCATTCAGAAGTACTTAAGTCATAAATAAATAAATCAATAAAAAAAAATTACATATTGGTATTCTAAATCGAAACTTTGCAAATCTAATTGGACTCTATTAAAACTAATTGTAAGATCGAAAATTGATACACAAAGTACATGAATTCACAGCATTTACAGATATAGATAGCCATATACCAGAGGGAGACTTTGTACAAAAGTCGATTGCTTGGGTACCTCTGTCCCATTCGTGTTTCAACCGTGAAGCAGTTGTGTTTGCAGGGCTGTGTTTCGGTTTGAAGAGTGGGATATGGCGTGAATTTACTGGGTACAGAGGAATAACACCTGAGTCCTCAGGAATGGCAGCGCATGGGGGGTATCGTGGGCGAAACAGTATACTCTGTTATGTCCATGGTACTGCTCATGTCTATAGGCGACGGTTACCACTTTCCATCAGGTGGGCCGTCAGCTTGTTTGCCATTCTAAGCTGTATAAAAAAAAAAAAAAATAAAAAAAAATCTATGGTCTACATTCTCGTCACAGTATGTAACGAACATAGTGAGGCGTTACCTACCCATATAGGGAATAAACACATGTCCCCAAGAACCGGTATCTGTGATGATTCCATAATATATAAGATCTGTCGTTATTTGAACATTAAGGCACAATTATGGACGATAAAAAGTAAAAATTCGCATGTAACATTTTTATATTTCATTGTTCTAAAACGGGTTAGTAATATAAGAAACCAGTTTTTTTTTTATAGCTACTGCATATTTACTTTCCTTCCTTAGTAAAGTAATTATCTTGATGCTTAATTAAAGACAGTTTTAAGTGACTTTAAAAAAAAAGTTCGTGTAAGCAGGTGACTCAGGACCGTTTCTTATGGAGGAAGCCTATGTTCAGCAGTGGTCAGATAACTGCTGATATGATGATGAACATCATCATATCAGATGATGGTGATGGATGTATTTTACGCAATACTTAAGACATTTCTATCTTGGTTTGATAATTCTTTTTAATCGAAAGTGTACTTTAGTTTACTTAGTCCCGTATTAGTTTCATTATTGTAAATTTTATTACACTAAAAGTCGTTGTATTGTTTTGCGAAGCATTTTTTTTTTGTTTTAGTTCACCCCACTTTATGAGTCGGCACTAATTTTGCAGTATCAGAAATTTTGATCCTGGGTTGTCGCATCAGGTAATTTCTTTTCTGCTACAAGTTTTATTGTAGCTTACCTGATTATAATCTATTGGCAGTATTCTAAATTTATTCGTTTTTACTTAGATATATAGTTATTAACACACAAAGGTGAACTTTTCTCTAAAAAGAGATCTCTTCCAGCAAAACCTTAAATTTAACTCTTCAATTTGCCAACCCTGTTCAGATCGACGCGGTGGCAACCCTACCCGATATCTGATGCTAGTTACGAAATTACAAACCTCACGCCAGCTGGCTACTGGACCAGATTACAAGCAATGATGTATATAAAATAAGAATTTGAGCTGCAGTATCCGATGGTGACGATATACCGGTAATAACTAGCGGTACTTTTTAGGGTTCCACACCAAAATTGGAGTTAGTTATGCAAAAACATTACCTGAGATCTCCATAAGAGCTTTTCTACATTCCTGTTTTCTGCATAACTAGTAGCAATTAGACCCTTTATTTTATAATTACCAGAGGGTAACTGCAAAAAAGTTGTTTGCGCAAGCACTACATCACTCGTATTTCTGCTGTCAAGCAGTTATGTTTGCATGGTTGTGCTTCTGTTTAAAGGGTGGGATATGGCAGTGAAATTACAAGGTACCGAAACAATATCCTAGTCCATTGTATATGTTGGAATAGCAAAGCGTGAGCGAATACCATCAGTAATGACTGGCGACGTTTGCTATCTTTACCACAATTCCACTTTTCGCTTTAGTTCCTAGCTCAAATTTAGATCAATTAAAGCTTCAACAATAGACTGAAATAGTATATAAGATGGCATTTCGGCAGGGTTTTAGTGTCGAAGGGTGATTTGCTATTAATGATTAGCTCAAAACAAATTGTTTAATAGTGTTATGCATAGTTCTTATAAAGATATTTCCGAACCGATACGACAACATAACCTTAAAGAAAAGAGTATATTCCTTTTTAAAAGGCCGGCAGCACACCTGCAATTCCGCTGGTGTTGTGAGTGATCATGGGCGGCGGTAGTCACTTACCATCAGGTGAGCCGCATGCTCGTTTACCCCCTGTGTTGTAAAAAAAAAAGATATTTTAAAGGAGATTAAATAATACTAGTCTTCCACCTATGGTTCCTTTGACAATGCAGAAAATCAATTAAGAATGAATTTCCTGGAATTCTCACGGGAAAGGAAGATAACGGGTTCGCGCGAGCGAAGCCACATTAAACGACTAGTATTTATATCAAAAGAAAAAAGCTATAGTTAACAAAGGGAAAACGTTTTATAATGTACATTAAAAGCGGCAGTAAAACGAGTTTTTGTGGTCAAAAATCACGACTCGAATACAAAACCGGATTCAGAATGATGCTCAAATTTTTTAGCAAAAGTGACCTTAGTTGAGGGCAAATGAAATTTTTGGTAATGAAGATGATTCTGTGCTTGTTTTATTTTTAACCGGTCTTTAAAAATAACTCGTATTATTGCAATGACTATGTTTTTATGTCATTGGTAGCTTTTGCTTACGACTTCGTCTCCATGACCGGGATATGTTGAATGACCAGGGTATAAAGTAGTCTACGTTGTTCTCTATTTCTGATAGTATGTGTATAGCAAATTTCATAGTGATTGGTTAAGCCGTTACGGTGCTAAGATAATGCGTCAATTTGGTTAAATGAATTTAGTATAAAAATAGAATTGTATTAGAATTACAGAAGTAAAATTTAGTATTTTACGCAAAAACTTTACCACCGTCTAAGACATGCAAACTCCAAATAATGGCGATATCTTGATGATACTCGATAATTTTTTAGGTCTAACCTAATATTATAAAGAGGAAAGACTTGATCTTTTTGTATGTTTATTTGTATAAACTCAAAAACAACCATTTCAAAAATCCTTCACTTCTAAAAAACTACATTATAATAATATGTTGTTCAAAAAACCAATAAAATAGTAGATCAATAAATTTTATTTCCGTATTGCTCTAACATGAGTATTGCCATGTAGTCGCTGTTTTTTATCATGATATACTCTACATTATATACATATGTTAATAGTCTAGCTAAATCACTTTTAGACACTTTGATTGCATTAGTTTTTGTGCCAGTATGAAACATCTCAATAGAAATATCCATTATTAGTATTAACCGCAGGAATGTATTCCAAACATTTGCCTCAACAATTGTATTCAAATGGCGAGATAAATTCTCGTATGAAGTACGGCCGACCAAAAATCAAGCCACGACGGCTAAGAACGTAACCTATCATTTCGATCCAAGAGAAAAACTTTTGCAAAAAACACAACACATGGCCTCTATGAACTTTTGGATTCCACAACCTTTACCAAACCATATTGGATTCTAAACTCGTGCAATAGAGTTGAATATCGCACAGTTGTACGTAGTATATATGACGTTAAGATTTCTGTAGGGAAGAAAGGTGGTACAAAAAAAGGAGGAACAAAATCGTAATGGTATATCAACGACCTTGGGTTTCTGTAGGCCGCATGCCGGCTGTTGGCCCTTGGTATGCGGGCCGGGCCGGTTTTTGTGAGCGTGTTTTGATGGATCGCCCCGGGCCTCGATCTGGACTCGATACAACTCGGTACAGTTGAAGGGTCCATCGTGTACTCCAGTAAAACAATTAGACGCTGAGCGTACTCTGACATCATTCTTACGGAAGTACCGTCAGTGCGTACGCCTTTAACAATTGTGGCACACTTACTATGTAACGTTGTGGTTGTTGCATCGATTTAACGTCTTAGTGATTGAAATTTTATGGTTAAACATTTAGGTTTTATAGACCAACTTTGGTAATAATAGAAATTGGTTATTAAACTTTTTATAGAAATGGGTTTAACTACGATTTATTTGATCTGTCGTTTAAGAGTCGTAAATGTCGTAAATCTAAATTTTGTCTAGAAAAATATTTTTTAAAAACATTAATTAAAACATATCAATCTGAATATATTTTTTAATACATTGTTATATATTATAATCTGTAATAATATTATAAAGAGGAAAGATTTGTTTGTAGTGGATAAACTCAAAAAACACTCAACTGATTTAAAAAAAAAATTACCTATACAAAGTTATATTATCAGGGAGTAACATAGGCTGTTATTTTTGAAATTTTTTTTGCGAATTGAAATTTGCGTTAGTATATTATAAAAGCTTGTGAGACTTAAAACGGTCTTATCATGCTGGTAACCTGCTACTACGCTATCCAGTATTGAATACCTATTATGATTTTACGCGTAACAAATATATAAAAAGGCACAAACGACTAGAGAAACTCCTCCCTCCTCCAAGTCGCGTAAAAATAGATTACGTTACGGTCTTATTCAACTCGCATAACTAGTCGGTAACCGAATGCCGCGTTATTTGCATATGATACCTAGATATTATAACTTTACTACGTAATAAGCAAAGTTATCTAACGGTGCATTATACTTAATTACGTCAAACAATAAAAGAATATATTGCAAACATTTCAATAGCAAGCAGTATGACAGCCCACCTGATGGAGAGTGGTAACCGTTGCCTATAGACATAAACAGTACCATGGACATAACAGAGTATACAGTTTCGCCCATGACACCCCCTCCCTATGCCATTCCTGAGGATTAAGGTGTTATGTCTCTGTACCCTGTAAATTAACTGCCATATCCCACCCTTCAAATCGGAACACAGCCATGCAAACAATTGCTTCACGATAGAAACACGAATGGAAGAGAGGTACCTAAGCAAACGACTCTTGTACAAAGTCTCCCTCTGGGTGTGTGTTTGACTACATACCGTAAAACTTTCACGTAATATTAAGCAATTATGTGGTCTAAAGTGGAGCAAACAAAACCTAATGTCTATTTTATGGCTTAAAAGATAATATATTATGAAAATGATGAATGTTACATGCTAGAAGAGAATTCCATTCTCTGACTCTCCCTGGCTGTTCAAAGAAGCAAAGTGTTTTGCACTAATAAGCGGATACCCCCATGTACCAAGCCATGTGCGGATGATATTGCTAATGGGGATGCTGGGGGGAAGGGATTGTCAGTAATGGAGACTAAGAGCTCCATTGCTAGCAATATACCCAACCAGGTCAATCTCCCCGTGGTCCTCCCTGGAAACTATCGTGTTAAATTCTAAGTGTATTCATCACGATGGGTCGACTTGTTTTTTTTCATTCTCATCTACCAACCCTCACTGGTGGACCGCCAGTGTATATCGTTAGCGCAGGCAGGGTTACCATTTCATTGCCATCTTCCAATTTGGTATCAATTTTTGCGATTTGGAAATATCTTTTTTATTTAAAAGGGCATACTTCCAGATTGTTCTCATTAGTAGAAATTTTATCGTAATCCGTTCAGTAATTTAAAATTTAAATGTTTCGATTCAAATCCTATACTCAATTGGTTTTGCCACAATTAAAGGCTATGATTAGCAGTGGACGGTTAACGGCTGATACAATATGATAAAAAAAAAATGGGTATGCTAGTCCCCATTACTAACAAAACCCTTCCCCAAGTTCCGGGTATAAGTTTAAGTACAATGGAATATTTAAATGATACATATCTTCGCGTACGTGTCAGTATGAATAATATGTTTTATCGCTCGTTCTTACAATCTATGGATAGAGGTTAGGATACCGCCATATCTACCGAGGATAGGATAAAACTTGAAATAATTACGATTCCACGTTCATCCATTAATAAAATATCCTTGTTTGCCACCTATGTGGCATAATAATTAGATTTTTATATTTTTTTTCCGCGAAAAAAGCAATTTCGATCGTGATACAATTAACAAGGAACCAACGCGGAAGTAGTCTATCAATAGCATAAAAATATATCAAATTCGATTTAGGGACGTATGGGTACCTTCATAACTCAATACCGCTTCGATACCTACAATATATTGTCGGTTTCTCTGGACATAGATGATGAAAAAAGGTCATCACCCATTTCAATATCGGGCATACCAGTCGGATATTTATACATACAGAAGGTATTTGAGGACAGAAGAAAGAAAT